GTTGTTGTTGGGGGGTGGTGCGGTCAGGTAGTTCATTCCTAGATTGTGTGTGTTATTCATGGTGGTGTCCATGTTGTTGTAGAAGCTCTGGTCCATACCGTTGTTGAGGTTGGGCAGGCTGTTGGGGTTGTAGTTGGGCGTGTTGTTGGAGAAGTTGTTGTTGTTCATCTTGATGGTGTTAGAGATGCTGTTGGAGAAGTCAATCGAGTAGAAAATGTGAAGAAGAGACGATGTTGATGAGATGCTTCCCTATCCAGACAGCGGAGTATTTATATTATGGACTAAGACATATTCCTAGACAGTCTGTTGAACATTGCAGTAGACAATGGCTTTGTATGCTGATGATTCGAGACATGCCTTTGTTATATTAAGACCATATCACAAAGATGCTTTGTGGAAGAGTCACAGAACATCAAAGATGTCTCCTGGAGCAACACACGATGTCTTTATAACATCTGAAACTCGCTGGAGCTTTAAGGGGGCTTTCAGCTGTGTCTTGTCGTATCATTCAGCATCAGAAACTCAAAGCCGAGAACTATACAATGGGCTTTCAAGCAAAGTGCCTGCCTTGGAAGTTCAAGCTGATAATTTACCCACTTTTTGCTCGTCTTACAAGATCCCAGCTTGAATGCAAAGACGTTAAAGTATCTTACCACTATGACTATGGGAAAATGATCCCTAGACTAAGGAGTACATCATCCGGACACTTTTTAGTCGAGCGGTATTGATTTTTGATAAAGAACACAGTAATGTAGAGAGAGAGGACGTTCTACAATATCTTCCAGATTATCATTGTTGATTGTCTTAACATGCACCAGACTATGTCAAAGATAGATGGACTCCACACGTATCTAAAATATCCATGCCAGACTATCAGAGGAAAAAGAGTAGCCTGCTACTGGCTGTTTCCGCCAGGGCTAATTTTCCGGTTCTTCCGGAATCGTCGCGAACTTATTCAAAACTTGTTTCAAGGCAGGCCGTCGGATCGGTTTACTACCTCCATTAGTACAGGCTTCTTGTGTAGGCAAGATGCACATACCTGATGAACATGTCCATGCCCGAGTCCATGCAATCTTTAATATTGCTTTCTTCCGAGAAAGCGCTCAGCGCAACAATAGGCGCCGAGTAGCCCATGCCCCGGATGAGACGGGTGCTCTGTAGGCCGTCGAGGTTGGGCATCTGCCTGTGTCAGCTACTTCAATATAGTGATGGTTGCATACATACCTGAATGTCCATGAAGATAAGGTCAAATACTTTGCCATCTTCCATATTCGCCTTGACTGTGTCGTAGGCTTCTTGGCCGTCTTTGACGACCGTTACATCATATACTTCTTCCAATCGAAGCATTCTAGGAGACGTTAACGTTGTTCACGAAAAATTAGAGATTAACATACCGAAGAACCACTTCCTGGTTCACAACGTTATCCTCAGCCACCAATACGCGCACCTTGCCAGACGAACTATCTTCTACTTCGGGTTTCACTCCATCAGCAGCAGAAACCTTTGGATTCGAAGATGCCGGGGATGACGGCGTCGGGGTAAAGAATGGCTGACTGAATCCGACAAGTCGAGGTTGCAGATCCTGCTTGTCGAAATTGCTGGTCAACGGATCGCTTCGAACAGAGCCATTGTTCGACGGTGGCCGCGCGAGACTGGCAAGATCGTCAAGCGAGAGGACGCTCGATGTCCGCGAGCCAGTAATACTAGAACTGCGTGTACTAGGCGATGCCTCTTTGACGAATTTCAACGGAATCTCCACGGTAAACAAGGCGCCTTTGCCCTGCTCACTTTCAAGGGTAATCGTTCCATTCATCAAGCGAGAGAGCTGCGCGCAGATACTGAGCCCCAATCCTGTGCCTCCATACTTCCGGTTGAGCCCGAGATCACCCTGTACGAAGGGCTCGAAGACCCGCTTCTGTAAATGGGGGGCGACGCCAGGACCGTTATCTTCCACCTCAAACTGGAAGATCAGAGTCCGCAACTGCGAAAGCACAGGAGTGTGGTATTCTTCCTGAACCAGGACGTCCATGGGGTCACGGGGCTGAGAACTGGCATGCGACGTAGGTCGGGATCGCAGGCGCGAATTGCGTCGAGAGTCCTGTATCGAGGTTCTGGGACTGCCCGGGGTTTCCACTTCCCGCACGCATTTGATGCGAACCTCGACCTTGCCATGCTCGGGTGTGAACTTGAGACTGTTGCTGACCAGGTTGATCAGAACTTGAAGGATACGATGCTGATCACCCCATAATACCATGTCCCTCAGCCTGCCGGTTCCTGGTGGACCAAACGCGGGATGAGACGTCAGGAACGGCTTCTCCTGTGAGCCATCGCCCTTTGACGGAAGGGCGTCGCCACTGACAAAGTTGACGTTGAAGTCGATCTGTTTTTCCTGAACCTGATTCTGGAAAATGACCGTCAATTGAGACCGGATGTCCGACAATCGAAACTCCCTCTCTTCCAAACGAATTGCCTGGTCGATTTGGTTCTTGCTAAAAGTCAACAAGTCATTCAAGAGATGCAATAGGAGATCGCCCGACTTGTAAACGACCTGCAAGGACTTCTTGATCCGAGGAAGATCGTCTTCGCCCATGCACACTGCACACATGCCTAGAATCCCATTCAAAGGGGTCTTGAGCTCGTGGGAAATATTGGCGATGAACAATGTCTTACTCTCGTTGGCAGTCTCCGCGGCCAACTTGGCGGCTTCCAGCTCGCGCGTTCGTTCCGCCACTCTTTCTTCGAGCCGATTGTACTGGATGGAAAGCTCGTCCGACATCTCGTTGAAAGTGCTGGTCAGCTCCGTCAGTTCGTCCGTGACGAGATGCTTGCGTTCCTTTACTCTGCCCGGAATCTGGAAATTTCTGGCGTGGTTGCGACTGCCACCGCTGTGTGCGCTGTTGGGCCGGTCCTTTCGGCGGAAATGCTTCACCCAAGCGATGAAACTTCCCTTCTCATCCAGGTGATCGTCAAAGGTACGGGGCTCAATCTCCGCCTCGTTGGCCCCTACAATGTACGGTCCAGTGGACGGAGGGCGACTATGCGGAGACTGTGACGGGGGCTCGATCGACATGCGAGTGGCCTCGCTCAGCCGGCGAATCGGTGCCACGGCCAGATGGGCGAGCAGAGGGACGATCAAGATGATGAAGCCCATTGTTCCAAAGACGCATGCCAGAATGATTTTCCTGAGCTTGTTGATAGGGGCGAATGCCTCTCCCTGTGCCTCCTCCACCAGCAGAATCCACTGCGCCATCTGCGACTTAGGCCGGATTGCGCCGACCGCAACCTGGTATCCGTGTTCGTTTCTGGTGGACAAATCGCTGATCGAGTCATTGGACAGCGCCCACGGTTTAGACATGAGCTTCAGTGCCAGCGGATACTTGGACAGGGCAAAGCTGTTCATGCTCATATTGCCGCCGTGCCTGCTGCTCTGGCCGGGAAGTGGAGTGGGCTCGAAGAGGTAGTGAACCTCGGCGTGGGAAAGTCCTTCAACTTCTGGAGCCGAGGTCGCTGTGGCCGGGTAGGCGTCCGGGGCGAACCGATTCTCTGCCCGCGCTGGACCGAGCAGGAGAATCTGAGCGGTATTGCCCATGCCATCGCGGGAGTTGATCGTGGCCTGCAGATTGGCGGCACTGGCGACGACCCTGTACGCAGTCAGCAGGTGATATCCAGCTTACTCTCTCTGTTCCGATTGCCTACGTCATGTATCCAAGAATGTCAGTGGCCGAAGTATTATTGATGATGGGAACTGTGACTGAAACGAGGGAAAAGGAGCTGTTGATCGGCAGCGGCCCAAGAAGAAGAGCGGTGTCAAGTCCAAGCTTGTAATCCGCAAAGGCATACACATCGGTTGTGTTGCTTCCGTCGGAGGCGGCGGAATAGGTGAGATTGGGGTAGAGCGCGGGGGGATAACCCAGTCCCTCATCTCCTAGCATGACAGCCGAGCCGTTCGGGTAGCTGTAGGGAAGAGTGATATCGGCAATATCTTTCGCAGTGACGTTGAGCAATCCGTGGCGATTTCCTTGACCGTTTCGAGAGAAAATGATGGCTTGATAGAGGTCCAGATAGTTATTGCTGCCCATGGCCGACTGCACATCCGTGACGGACGTGGTCCAGTTCGAATCACTCGAGTTCCCATTGTAAAACCGGCCCAGAGCACCTTGAATCAGCAGTCGACTGACGATGGTTTTGCACGTCGATTCGAGAAGCTCGAGATTGGAAGAGATCTGACTGGCTTTGATTGTTGCGACCAGCTCGAGTCCTTCGGATCTAGAGGTCAACCTGTGAGTGGGAGACGTACAAAAAAAAAAAGCCAAGTGAATGCTTTGCTATCTTACTGGACATCAACCACGAAATTGTGGCTATTCACCCACTGCGTGTGTGATTAGTCTTGGCCGGATGATCGATGATCAGCGCGGGAGCTCACAGTAGCGATGGACAGAATGGCCAGGCCCACTAGGGCGGTCACAAGGACCAGCAGCCCCAGCTGCAAGGCAATAGGGATGCGCATCCGGAGACAACTCTGGCTGGTCGTCCAGAGGAGGCCGAACTCAGCTCATCGTCTTGATGCTGATGCTGGGGAGTAGGGGAGAAGAGAATGAAGAAGGAAGAGGAGGAGAGATGAGAGAGAGAAGAGGAGGGAAAAGAGGAGATGGAGAAGAAGTTGGAGATGAATCGCCTAATCGGGATTAGCGAGTAATTTCTGCCACGGATCCCTGGAAATGGCAGTCGGAGTCGATTCTGGAACAACTTACCTTACATAGTACTAGTAGTGAGTCCGAGAATTCCGTTATCCGAGTCAGTTAGCCATCAATTCATGGATATTAGACAGTGTTGGAGAACTGGAACTGGATCAAATGCTGGTCGCTTACTCCGTACGGACGAGGCCAAATCGAGCCAAATCTGGATTGACACGACTCTGCCTTGGAAGCGGGTATTACAGTGGATCAAGCACCATGAGTGATTGCACTGATTGGAGAGAGAAAAAGCCCCCTGGAAGTCTAGACTGCTGCCGATCCATGATTCAATTAAGTTGTCTATTGTCTGCATCGAATTTCCGAGTGTGAAAGCCTCTTGATTTGACAGCGGGCCGAAACATGGCCAGTGGGAGGCCTGAGGCCATGGCACAAGTCAGCCAGGGATGAGTAATCGCCAGGATCAGCTGATATCACGTGCTTCTCCAGACAACTCGGTCCATCCACATTCTACATCTACATCTACCATCTAGGTATCCAAGGACAAGTCATCCCGTGCAATGGTCCAGCTGCCTTCTTCATAGTCTCACTAACCAAGATTTCCAACCATTTGATCTCTCGTTATGATCTCTCATCATGATCACTCACAAGATTGTTGACGACGACCTCAGATATTAGACACTACACCAATCCAATGGCAGCAACCAACGCATCCATAGCCGAACTATGAGATGAAGCATCCACCTGCTGAATGGGACCAGCCCAATTAACACCCATCTTATTACTGGCGTCGCGATCTTGCCCCCAGATACTATCGGCTGACGCTGTAATGACACGCGAGTATGCCCCATCCGGAGCCACACTGTGCAACAACCGCAAGTTCCGGATGAAGATCCCCTTGAACTGCGTGCTGTCACCTGTACAGCTGCTAGGCTCGCAGGACTCATGAATAACACCATTCGAGTCACTAAGCGCCGCAATAGCCGCTCTGGCGATCTCCCCTGCTGACTCGAGGTACGTTGCATTGGGAGACGCGCGGTATAGCTCGGCCAGCCCGCCGAGGATGACTCCTTGATTATATGTCCATCTGTCTTGTCAGCACTCGATCTTCGGTTGTCAAAAATTGTTCACATACGTGGTTTGGCCATTATTCTTGCAGTTATCCGTCAGCCCATCGTTGATTGTGTGGTTCGTGTTGATCATCCCGCTGCCTCGGAACCAATCCCACTCGCGTTCAGCCCAGTCAACATAATACTCCTTGTTCGGCGCTCGATTGGCGAGATGCGCCGCCAAGGAGAGGAAGAGCTCGTTTGCTATGGCGTTGACATAGGTATGCGTGTAGTCCCAGTAGATCCCCCCGCCGCACCTTGACGGCCACACCTTACTCTAGCACTTCGTCAGAATCTCCTCCAGAAAGAGAAGCCTCGAGCAGACCCACCAACTCCTCGAATACGCCCACCGCAATATCAAGATACTCGTGTCTACCCGTAACATCAAACGCCGCGATCCACGCCAACGCCCACCACGCATCATCGTCGTACGCGCCATCCAACCATTTGGAGACATCCACCCCTGCGCGCCGCCGAGTCACGTCCTGAGGGCGATGATGCTTAATCGCCCCGTTATACGTGTTATTCCCCCGTCCCGGCGCAGGATTGGATCTCGGCGCCGCGGAAAACGTATTCTCAAAGACGGTGACAGCAACATCACGCGCAGAGTCGTCAACACCCGCCAGGTCAGCAAGAACGGTCATGCAGTTTGCCCCGTTCCACCAGCCGCAGGTATCCCAGATGCCGCTGGAGGTGTTGTACCATGTTTGTAGCGCGGTGAGGGCTGTCTCTGCGCGGGTTGTAGGCGTTACGGCGGCGATGGAGGGGGCGAGGAGAAGGAATAAGAATTCGAGGTGCATTTTGTCGAGTTTGCCATTTGAGTTTTCAGGTTCTGGCTCCTGTCTTATAGTTGTCGTAGGATTGGAGAATGATGCATCTATCGAGCGACGCAAAAGGGGTCGGAATGCAGAATGCATGATGTATACATGCCAGGGATGGCCCATTCTTTCTGGAAAGATATGTGTTATGACGCCAGATGCTCTGCATGCTCTGGCTGAATACCATTTGACTCGTCATAATCTTCGAGTTTGATCGACACGGTCCGTGATCTGCAGAGACCAATGCAGGTCCGACTGGGATGTATCATTTCTATCCCAGGTTTGAAACCGAACTACGGCCCCGTTGATATTTTTAGTTCACATGTACGAGTACACCGTGGTCAGAATCATCATACCCATAAATAATTTCCAGAACGCTATAATCTCTAATCCCTACAATCGTCGTCTCAATTTCAACCGACCCAACTGCAATCACCGATCTATCTATAGCTATCGACCAGATCACCGCCAAGTGTCACTCTCAGTAGCAGTCGACACCCCACAGCCCGAAGGCACAGTGTACGAGCGGTTCGGGTCACTCTCCCACACGACCGAGCCATCGGTTTCCTTGCGGATGTACTTGTACTGGAACGTCGTGCCGGCCGGCAGGTTGATGGTCACGTACCAGAGGTTGTTGCTGGAGGTGTATTGGGAGGCGCTCAGGGCAACGGCACTGTTGGTATCCCAGTTCCCCAGCTGGGAGATGGATCCGACAATGTACACGTTCTCGCCGTAGGTGGTGGTGGCGATCTCATCGAAAGTGACGGCGACGGAGGTGGGGGTCGTGCAGGCGGTCGTGGTGCTGGTGGTGGTCCCGGAGCCCGCGGTGGTCGAGGTAGCGGTCGTGGTGGCGCCCGCCGAGCCGCTGGTCAGAGTGCTGGGCCAGGAGGTGGCGGTCGCGGTGCTGTAGGTGCCCGTGGCAGAGCCCATGGAGCAAGACGAGGGGACGGTGTTGGCGGAGGCGGCGCCCCAGGCGGGAGGCACGACGCCGTTCCGACGCATGTTGGCCGTCAGGAGGGCGGCGTACGACCAGGTGAGGTCGCGGGCGGAGAGGGAGGTACCGGAGGCCTTGTCGAATTGCTCGGAGAGGGAGCCGTTGTTCATGGCGTGGGCCTCGACGATGCTCACGTAGCCGTCTGCGTAGGTCTTGACCGCGTTGATGATGGCCGTGAAGGTGGAGCTGCCGGAGGCGTAGGTGCCAACGGCGGCGGAGCTGTAGACGTCCTGGAAGAAGGCGAGGGATGTGCTTGTGATGGTGATGGAACCGACCTTCTGCCACTGGTAGATAGCATCGTAGAGCTGCTCGGCAGCGGCCAGGGTGGTGAGGAACCAGGGGTTACCGTTGTAGTAGGAATCCTCGGGATAGCGGCCAGCGGCAACGGCGACACCCTGGGCGATGCCCGAGTTGATCGAGTAGACGGAGCGGAACGAGTCGGTGTACACCTTGTGGTTGGCGAGGGCACGAGGGGAGCAGGGTTGGAAGGTAGTATCGTCGCAGCCAGCCGCGGGATCGAAGGTATGGATGCTGGCCAGGACGGTGTTGGCGTCCTTGCCGGAGCGGCCACCGCCGGTGTTGGCATTGATATACGAGCCAGTCCAGAAGCTCTGCATGTAGCAGAGGATCTGAGGGGCCTGTGAATCACACCACGAGCAGGAGGCTCCCACCCTGCCAGCGAAGGTGCTCCCCTCAACGAGGGCACGGTGCTGCACGGCGACGGTGAAGAAGGACATGGAGTTCACCTCTTCCCAGAGATCTATTCAAGTAAATAGAACGGTCAGCAATGGATGGACAGACGCTATCAGAGAGTCGTCGACGCACCAAAGCCGGTCTGGCTCCAGTACTGAGCAACGTAGGACAAGTCGTTGCGCACAATGGGCCAGATGTTGTTGACAGCATAGCTGGAGTAACCGTTGTCCTGTGGATGTCAGCCAACGCTTCCTACTCCTTACGAGGGCAGAACATACAATCAGCCAGTTGCCAAAGTCGATGAGGGCAGTGGCGCGCAGAGCCGGACCATCGCGCTGGGGACGCCCCCAGGCTCCGGTAAAGGCGGTCATATCGACGTTGTACTTGGGCTCCGCGAGACCTCCGCTCGAAAGACCGCCAGATGGGTTAGAGACGGTCTGCAAGTAGGCCTGTGAGTTCACATATTCTTCAATCACAGTCTGCAGACCCAGGTTGCCGTTGCGGAAGAGATCGACCAGGACTTTCATGGTGAGAGCGGCATCTCTCGTCCAGGTATAGTAGTCTACACACGTCAATGATTGTTCCGCAGTAGACCAGGTCAGAGTAGTCGCTCACAGTCTGGGTTGCTGGTACTGGGGCTGGCAATGATCACGCCAGCCTTGGCGCTCTTCGCATAAGCACCGCTGGCACCGATATTGGCGAGAATGCCATTCAGAGAAACCGTAGTCTCAGTAGCCAACCAGGTGTCCAAGCTGACAGTAGCACGAGGGGACAACTGAGGAGCCGCAACGGCAGCATGGCCGAGAGCCAGCGCACAGAGCGCGTAGGAAAGACGAGGCATGACTAGGTCGACAGACGAGATTCAGCAGGGAAAGGATGATATGGATGAGGGTAAAGGAGGTGATATGAGACTGATCGTCCTGAATCCCGACAGAAAGGGCAACTCTGGGGTCTGATCCCCCCTTTATAGATTTTTGACCGTGCATGGCTGGTGATTGTGTCTTGAATGTATTTCCGTGAGTGGACTTCTCATATCTTCTGCTGAGGTCTTTTCTTAGGCTTCTAGGGATCTGATTCGTTCACAACTTCTGGATATGTGAATTTCCCGAGCGCACCAAAAGAAAAATGCCACCAGATGGTCTGCAAATATTGCCAGGTTCCCCACGGGGTCCATCTGCGCGTGATATTGAGGTTGATTCCCTGTTAGGACGGAGATTTCCGTTAATCCTGATAGGCCGAATATGCTGGGGAGAAGCTGGAGGTCGGATAGCGGGAGAACATTCATATGCATTCGGCAGCACCAGGTAAGTCCTTCACGGAGATTTAGGTTGTATTCTGCTGCTCTGACTGGTTCTTATATCCGAGGCTAACAGCTGCTAGGTGAAATGGGCACTTTTCATGCCTATCATCTTCCTTTCCAGGACTTCTCCATCGGCCCGGATTCACTCCACCTTAGCTTTTATGGAGTGATTTTGGCAATGTGCATGCTACTGACTCGTGATTAATCAGGCAATTCAGTCCACAACACACAGGCTGCGTGGAGTAGTGAGAGTGAGACCATGAGACATGAGCGCATTCAGAGCATCCACCATAGCGCCGGACTCGTTGCCAATTCGGATCAAGCGTGAAGTCCCCGAAGAAACCGACGATATGAAGATTCCCCGCAATATCGCCGCCCCCTGCTAGGTTGGGCATGGATACTCGTCGTCATTTTCTGTCTGACATCTTCTCATGTGAGGTAGTCTAATTTCAGTGGGAAGGTCGAATTCTTCGACGGTTGTCCTCCATCCGAAGGGATTAGAGTTAGGCTTCTACAACGAGACTATCAGGTCCGTGGTTTTAAGTTACATAGCTCCAAGCCGCGTCTGGCTTACTATCCCCTCGATTCTTCAACCGGAATATGGAGAGACTGCCCACTTAACCTTTTCACCCCTTAGTGTAGGCTTAGCCGGTGTGGGGATCCCCTCGTCTACAATCGACACTGCCGATTCCACGAATCACCCCCTTGCTTCTACACTAAACAGGTATACGGTCCTTCAGCGAGATTACTTGCGTTTCTTCTGCACAACTGCCGAGCTCGCTAGTGGAATTCTGTACCTGAAGCGGGGTTTTGATTCCTCGTTGCCTCCCTAGAGCCGGAGTCACCAACCTATCGCCATGAATACGGCTTCAGATGCGGCTTTGTCAAACTCAATCACAGCGGAGAGTGAAACACGCATCGATCAGCTTCGACAGCAGTCACGGCGTCCGCGTCATCACGGAGAATGCACAAGACTGAACATCCGTAGCGTATTAGGAAGGCGTTCTCTTTGCCGATGAGCAGTAGCAAGGGTATATAAGTCTCGGTGAGATATCCTCGTCTGGGGAACATACTACCACGCTACGGGCCGCACAATTGCCAGAATGAAGTGGACCTCATCGCTCCTCCCCCTGTCCCTGTCCCTGCTCGGTCAGGCTGCCTATGCGCTGACCCCCGCCGAATGGCGCAGTCAGTCAATCTATTTCCTTCTGACCGATCGGTTTGGCCGAGAAGACAATTCCACAACTGCTGCCTGCGATGTCACGCAAAGAGTTTGTGCCCTATCGAGCTCGTTTGGGCATATTGCTAACGTTTGCAGCTATATTGCGGTGGGAGTTGGCAGGGGATTATCAACCATGTACATATCTCACGACTGTCTAATATTCCGCCAATCGCAACTAACCATGTCAGCTCGACTACATTCAAGGAATGGGATTCACTGCCATCTGGATCACCCCAGTAACTGAGCAGTTCTACCAAGACACTGGCGATGGTACCTCCTACCATGGATACTGGCAGCAGAACATGTGAGCATCCTGTCTGGGTCTGTGATTCACACTAATCCACAAAGTTACGAGGTCAATTCCAACTATGGAGCAGCTCAAGATCTCAAGAATCTGGCCGACGCTCTGCATGCGCGTGGCATGTACCTGATGGTCGACGTGGTCGCCAACCATATGGTAAGTGTCTTTGCCCAGCGTGAAACGAAATCTGATCGTTTAGGGCTACGACGGAGCAGGGAGCTCGGTAGACTATAGCGTCTTCTCTCCCTTTGACTCCTCTAGCTACTTCCACCCATACTGTCTCATCTCCGACTACAGCAACCAGAGTAATGTAGAGGACTGCTGGCTGGGAGATACCACTGTCTCACTGCCCGATCTTGACACAACCGACACAGCAGTGCGAACCATCTGGTATGATTGGGTGCAGGAATTGGTTGCCAACTACTCCAGTCAGTAACCCTCACCACTGAGCATGCAGGATACTGACAGAGGTAGTCGACGGTCTGCGCATCGATACTGTGAAACATGTCGAGAAAGACTTCTGGCCCGGCTACAATGACGCTGCGGGCGTCTACTGTGTCGGCGAGGTCTTTTCGGGTGATCCCACGTATACCTGTCCATACCAGAACTATCTGGATGGCGTGCTCAACTATCCAATGTATGCATCATAATCCGGACGCGGTTTTGGATACTGACTAGAGCAGTTACTATCAGCTTCTCTACGCTTTTGAGTCGACCAGCGGCAGCATCAGTGGTCTCTACAACATGATCAGCTCAGTTGCGTCTGACTGCGCGGATCCCACCTTGCTAGGCAACTTCATCGAGAATCACGATAACCCCCGATTTGCCTCGTAAGTCCTCGCCTCGTTTACATTTGTGCGGACTAACCTTTGCCAGCTATACGAGCGACTATTCGCAAGCCAAGAATGTCATCTCCTTCATGTTCTTTTCCGACGGTATCCCCATTGTCTACGCAGGACAGGAACAGCACTATAGCGGAGGCGCTGACCCGGCCAACCGCGAGGCTGTCTGGCTGTCTGGATACTCGACCAGCGCCACGCTGTACAGCTGGATCGCCTCTACCAACAAGATCCGCAAGCTGGCTATCTCCAAAGACTCGGGATATGTGACCTCCAAGGTACTTCCCTTCGGATGTCTTTTGCATTCTACACTAACATGCAACAGAACAACCCGTTCTACTACGATTCCAACACGCTCGCTATGCGCAAGGGTTCTACTACCGGCGCCCAAGTCATCACCGTCCTCAGCAACAAGGGATCCTCGGGCAGTTCCTACACTCTCTCCCTCAGCGGCATGGGCTACTCAGCCGGCGCCACCCTCGTCGAGATGTACACATGCACCACTCTCACCGTGGACTCGAGCGGTAACCTAGCCGTGCCAATGGCATCCGGTTTGCCCCGGGTTCTTGTGCCCTCGTCCTGGGTCAGTGGAAGTGGCCTCTGCGGTAGCTCTGACAGCACCGCCACCACAGCAGCAACCACCAGCGCGACCAAGACCACAACAGCGACAGCAACAACGACAACGGCATGCACATCCGCCACAGCCCTTCCGGTCATCTTCGAGGAACTCGTCACAACTACCTACGGCGAGGACATCTACTTGACCGGCTCGATCAGCCAACTCGGCAACTGGGACACGAGCTCTGCGATCGCCCTGTCGGCGAGTCAATACACCTCGTCGAATCCGGAGTGGTATGTGTCTGTGACCTTGCCTGTTGGCACCTCGTTCCAGTACAAGTTCTTCAAGAAGGAGTCGGATGGGAGCGTCGTGTGGGAGAGTGATCCCAACCGTTCGTATACAGTGCCGACTGGGTGTGCGGGTACGACAGTGACGGTGTCTGATACATGGAGATGATTGCCTCAGCTTGGGGCTTTCCGAATACTAGATGGCATGATGCACATAGCTACGTGAGATATGTTGACGAGTATGTCTGACGGATGTTGGCCCAACAGGAATACAAGATTGCACGTACCAGTAAGCTGACCTTTCGAGACCCCATATAAATCGATCCTCTAAGAGCCCGCTTGGTCTATGAGCCGTGGCTCTAGTAGACGATTCTCCATTACCCTGAGCAAGATAAGAACAGGAAACCAAGTCAAGAGACATCCGTCCAACAGCCCTATAGTGTCAATCAGTGCCTCCAAAGGACCGGGTGATATCCTCCTAATGAAATGGCGATGAATGTCATTGACGAGCTTTCAAGCTGAACGTGCTCAGGGAGGGCATCACGATCGATCTGAATATCATCAACCGACCCCCAAGCCGTCTTCGCAAGCTCAATAGTCATTCGCTTTCGTCCGCAGTAGGGACTGAAATCTGTTGTCTGTAAAATGGCTGACGAAGCTCCATCACCCTTCCCGTCCACTTCTCCCATTCAACCTCAACAGCAAGCGGAAACAGCTCGAAGAGACCCAAATCAATCAGCGTGTGGAAGCTAACCTGCACACATCCCCCTGGATATCCAATTTCCCTTGGGACAGATACTCTGCGAAACAATAATTGCTCCGGACGGCCGGGCATCATCCCAGTATCCCATCTGCTGCATCTCGTGAGTATTGCAAGCCTCCAGATCCTTGATAAATGTCCTTTCTGGTAGTGCGTATCACCCATGAGTAAGAGAAACCGCCTCGACACAACGGTCCTTATCCGTTCGATGGTGATGGGATGGTGTCCGTACTGCAGTGCAAAGCGCAAAGAGGTAGTCCGTAGTCCAGCTTGTCAGATTGCAACGGCGATCACACTCCATTCGAGGTGATCTGCAAGCGATTCTCTGCATTGGGAAGAGCAATGGCTAGAGTCAGGAGACTAGGATAAGTGGATGAAATATTGAAAGTCGTAGTTGCTCTATCCATAATACCTTGTTCAATATATACATTCCTAGTACTCTAATGGTGGCAGATGGAAGAGATGTCTCGGACACTAATGGTTGACCTACGACATGCATCTTCATCCTCCTCCTCGCTCAACTTCTCTATCTCAGAGTTAGCCCATACGATGGCAACCTGTCATTCTCTTGGCTCTAGCCTCTAGCCCGTGTAAACCAGCGGGTGTGATGTGTCAAGGGGCTGCCAAGTCCTTAGCTAGACCTCGGGATCCACAGGATGCTTTCTGATTGTTCACGATAATGACCCCTATCCTTTAAATAACCATTCGACATTGAGATTGTCACCCCGCCTTCCTGATGAATGATAGTGCACGGCAAACTGTGACAGCGGATGTTGATCCCTTCCTGCCGCTCATCGGAACTCACTCGGAATGAGCGCGGAATTGTGCCGAGTAACATGCGGTGAAGCATATAAACATATCAACCCCCCATATAGAGTATTATTGTCTATTCTCCTACGTTTTGATTGAAGAAGAAGAAGACCGAACAAATGTCCACTATCACTGTCACCGGCGCCGCTGGCCGCCAGATCTCGGGTACCTTCATCCCTATTCCCTCCCTATCAGACTACACACTAACTCCAGGCAGTCCCCACCGGCCTCTTCATCGACAACGAATTCACCCCCTCGTCCTCCAACAACACCCTCACCGTTGAAAACCCCACCACAGGAAGCATCCTTGGCACCATTTCCGCCGCCACCGCCGCCGATGTCGACCGCGCCGTGTCCTCGGCCACCACCGGCTTCCAGACCTGGCGGTCAACCCCCGGCCCCGAGCGCAGCAGACTCCTCCTCAAGCTCGCCGAGCTGGTCGAGCGCGATGCCGAGGAGTTTGCCAGCCTTGAGGCCGTCGACGCGGGCATCCTATACACAGATAGCATGGGGATGAACATCCCCCAGGCGGTCTCGAATCTGCGGTACTACGCCGGGTGGGCGGACAAGATCGACGGGAAGACCCTCGAGGTCCCGGGGGGCGTGGGATATACCTTCCGGGAGCCGCTGGGCGTATGTGCGGCCATCGTACCCTGGAATGCCCCATTGTACGTCTCCCACTCTATTCAACGGCAACAGTAGCTAACGACAACAGGATGATAACAATCTGGAAACTGGCCCCCGCGCTGGCCGCCGGCAACGCCCTCGTCATCAAGACGTCCGAAAACTCCCCCCTCTACGGCCAGAAACTCGCCCAGCTCATCGTCGAGGCCGGCTTCCCGCCGGGCGTGGTCAACATTCTCGCCGGCCTGGGCGCCCCCGCCGGCCAGGCGCTCGCGGAGCACGCGTCCATCCGCAAGGTCTCCTTCACGGGCTCCAGCGCCTCGGGCCGCAAGATCCTGGCCGCGGCGGCCAAGACGAACCTCAAGAAGGTCTCGCTGGAGCTCGGCGGCAAGGGCCCGTCGATCGTCTTCGCCGACTGCGATCTGGAGAACGCGCTGCTCTGGACCCGCATCGGCATCACCGCCAACAACGGGCAGATCTGCGCCGCGGGGTCGCGCATCTACGTGCAGGACACCATCTACGAGAAATTCCTCGAGGCGTATGTGCGTGCGGCGCGGGAGAACCCCGGGGTGGCGGGGGATCCGCTCGACCCGGCCACGACCAAGGGGCCGATCGTCAATGGCGACCAGCACCGGAAGATCCTGGGGTATATCCAGCAGGGCAAGGAGGGCGGGGCGCGGCTGCTGTTTGGCGGGGAGACGGTCGGGGAGAAGGGGTACTTTGTGCAGAACACGGCGTTTGCGGACGTCGCGGAGGATGCGACGATTATGAAGGAGGAGATTTTCGGGCCGGTGGCGGTACGTTTGCCTCTGCCCTACGAAAGTGTAAGAGATGCTAATGGCTATGGCTAGAGTATCGCCAAGTTCTCGTCCGAAGACGAGGTCATCCGCAAGGCGAACGACACCCTGCACGGACTCAGCGCGGCGGTCTTCACCAACGACGTGAACCGCGCGTACCGGGTGAGCAGGGCGCTGGAGTCGGGCCAGGTGACGGTCAACGCGTGGGCGATGCTCAGCGCCAACGCGCCGTTTGGCGGCGTCAAGGAGAGCGGGTTCGGGAGGGACATGGGGGAGGAGGCGCTGGAGGGGTGGACTTCTGTCAAGACGGTCAAGTATATGATCCAGGGGGCAAAGCTGTAGTTTTCATGCTTCTATCTACTCCGTCTCTACCTGACACTGATTGGGTGCATCTTGTGAAACACGTTGTTGGGATCATACTTAGCCTTGAGGTCCTGCAGTCGCGCCAGATTCTCGCCGTAGATGTTGTTCACCACCGAGTCACCAGCTACGCATCGATTAGCAGTCGCCATTTTTTGCACGGACAGCACTTACGCTCGGCATAGTTGATATACTGCGGCACCTCCTCCTGCGCCCTCGCGTCCAGCTCCGCCTTCCACCGCGCCTGCATCTCCCGCGCCCATGCCCGGTGCTCCGCGTCCTTGCGCGCATCCGTCCACCGCAGGTTGATCAGCCCGTTCTGCGTGTTACTGCGGCTGGCAAACGCCGTCGCCTCACGCGGCACCGCGCAGACGGCGCGCATATCGTAGAACTCGAGCAGCAGCGCCGAGGCGGCCAGGTCGGGCTCCGCCTGCAGCCGGGCCGTCAAGTCCGCCAGCATGTTGCGCGCGAACGCCGGGGCCAGCGGCGGCCGGAAGAAGACGCCCTTGAAGGACTTGCGGCCGCCGTACGTGGCCATCGGGTTCTGCAGGGTGTTGAGCTGGGAGTAGGGGATCATGGTTGCAGTGTTGACGACGGGCTCGAGGGCGAGGAGGCCGGCGTACCGCGTCTCGGCTTGCTCCTGGGGGCCGTTGTAGAAGACGATCACGTTGGCCATGGGAGCGGGAGCGCCGGGGGGCTGTGCAAAGACGCAGATGGCGCCGCCGCGGGGGTCCGGGTTGGCGATGGTCAGGTTGAGCTGCTCGATGACCGGTTCGACTTTGTCCGGGGGAAAGGCCAGAATCCCCGCGTAGACTGGGTTGGTCTGCTCGTAGGCCCGGTAGGTGAAGCTCGTCACGACGCCAAAGTTGTACCCGGCCCCGCGCAGGCCCCAGAAGAGGTCTGCGTTTTCCGTCGCGGACGCCGTCACAATCTGCCCGCTGGCCAGGACGACCGTTGCAGACAGGAGATTGTCGATGGTGAGGCCGTACTGGCCACTGAGCCAGCCATATCCACCGCCCAGGGTAAGGCCGCCCACGCCCGTATGGTTGACGGTGCCTCCGACGGCGGCTAGCCCGTGCTCGGCAGCGGCCTCGTCGACTTCCTTCCAGGTGGCACCACCGCCGACCGTGACAGTTTTGGCAGCTGGGTCAACGGAGACGGACTTCATCAAGCACAAGTCAATGACCAGGCCACCGTCGGAGGAGCTGGTGCCGGCGACAGAGTGGCCGCCGCCTTTGACGGCGAGGTCGATGTGGTGCTCTTGGGCCCAGAGGAGAGCAGCGCGGACATCCTCGGGCTCAGTCGGCATGACCACGATTCCCTGTTGGGTCAGAATGAGAATGGGCTCTTGATGTAAGGGGCATACCGCTGGTTTGGAGCCCGTGTCGGACCATCGTTGAAGCGTGTTGTGGTAGCCCTCTGAGTCGGGGGTATAGACCTTGGCCGACCTGAGTTGGTTTTTGAGAACGGTAGCAGCAGATTCCGGAATCATTTCGACTGTATGATAGAGAGAGAACGGTGAGTGAAGATGAAGCCGAGGATGCAGATCTAAATACCCCGCATCTGGCTGTACATACCCACATGGCGCAGTCAACCAGAGTTACCAGAGTCCAGACAATAACAAACCTTAGGCTTGGAGATATTCTTGAGCTCAATCGATAATCATTAGATCTATTCTGAATACATTTCAATGGTTTGATGGTAATTCTGCCGCCCATGACCCTCCTGCCTTTCCATCATTCCCGTTCGGCGCCTCCACCAGCCTTGAAGGATTTCTCTCTACAGGAGCTATCGCATAGGGCGCTGGTTCCCACTGCATTGGCTGAGCATCCGGACCTTCCACTGGAGCCGGAGTGTACACCGACTGAGTCTGTTGCGCAGCGCGACGACGTCGCCGGAAAAGAAGCCATACCAACGCCCCGACGAGGATCACGCCGGCTCCAGCGCCCACCCCGATTCCCGCTGCTGCACCGGCCGATAGACCCGAGGAGGATGAGGATAAAGATGAAGAGGTCGGCGACGACGTGGCCGTCCCCGTACTTGTGGCCGTCGAAGAATTCGTCGCAACGCTCAAGTCAAACAACGGCCGCGCCAGAGTCACCGTCTCCCCCTTGGTCGCGTTCGGCTGCGTCTTGCACGCCGACACCATATTATCCATGAAATTGCCCAGGACCTTGGAGCCGGTCTTCCCCCTCAGACACTCGGAGCAGCCGCTCGCGTACGTGGAGAAGGCATTGTTGTTCTGGGTGCAGTAGTTGTACAGCGAGACGTTGTTGCCCCACCAGAGGGTCTCGAAGACGGGTTTCAGGGGGAGACATTGCGACTCGCAGGGGGAGAGCGAGGTCGAGGCCGAGTCTTCGTAGACGCAGACCTGGATTGTGTATTTCTGGTTGACTGAGATATCGACATACGATTAGTACGGTTGGACATGTCTATCAAGGGATCTCAATCAAGGGATGAGCATACAGATGAACCAGTAGATGTCACTATCGAACTGGTTTGAGTAGGTGGTACTGGTACTCTCGCACAGGAGACAGTTCTTCATCGTCAGGCCGTGCACCGTGGAATTGTAGTCGCCATCGTTGCAGATCAGCTCGTCGTTGACCGTCTTCTCAGTGCCTCCGCAGATGGACAAACAGGGGGAATTCACGGTCGCGATCACGGCCAACACGGGGGTTGCACATAGGAGCAGCCCGAGAGCAGCGAGTTGGGCCATATTCATGGATACTCTTATGGATAGTGGTATGATGACAGGAGAATGGGATGGGAGGTGTAAGATCCATAAATGCGATTATTGAGTCGGGCACAGACCGATGAGTGGGCTGAAGATGTCAGCCACTGCCACTGCCAGCATGATTAGCTGTATGACTAGCGGACTAGTTGCTGATGCTAATGTGATTAGTCCATACGACTGGCCAGTCTGATCTCTTATTTTAGGGCTGATCCTGCAAGGACTTTGCTGATTCCCGTCTGATTCGCGGTGTGGAATGGGGGCGCAATCAGCCCAATTGAGCAATAATCGCCGTTGCTGATCAGCCTGATTTAGATCACTGAGTATGGCTATGGCTACAGGACAATTACTAGCTACGTCAATACCTGCTTGGAATACTTTTCGTACAACTCCGGATACCATTTCTGGCCGACATCCGGATGGCTCAGAATGCGATTCCGCAGATACGCCTCCCCGAACTAGTCACCAGTCAGTTCGAGAGCGTTAAGTTCGAGAGCGTTAACAAGTACAGGAGACTTACACAAGAGTACAATGGCGACAGAAACTCACTCGGAACATCCACGGCCCTCTTCTTGCGATCATCCGACGCCGGGATCCGCTGCACAATATGCGCCGCCGACTCTTTGAGCTGGGCCAGGGTGAGATCCATCCGTACCCCGAGGAAGAAGGGGATGCTGTATCTGGTTTTGGACGTGGGTGCCTGTTTATTATTAGGTTTCTGGTGGCATCGAACAAGAAGGGAACATACAATAACCCGATGCGTCGTGGCCGTACAGACACCCCCCGTAATGGCTTCGAATCCCTGCTGAATATTCACCACCAGACTCCCCTGAATAGGCGGCGCATCGATCCATTCGCCTTTCTTGTTGAGGACCTGCAAGCCACCCGTATCATCCTGCGAGAGAAAGGTAAACAGCCCGCTCGAGTCCTTGTGCGGGCCCACGCCCTGCGATCCTGGAGGGGACTGCGGGTACTTGATGAACTTGAGTCTGTCCATATTCCCCTTGAACGCTTCAAAGGTTGTCGGCGGTAGAGACAGACATTCGGCCACATGGCGCATGAATATCTTGGATAACTTGGCCGACTCGGCAATGTATTCCTCCACCAGTTCTCGGGCACCAGGGTAATCAGGGTACTACATTGTCAGTCCAACCTCGTCAACATCCAAGAGGCGAAGTACCTGACTATCTCCCTCAAGCCTTTGCCAAAACGGATCGTCCGGCGTCCACTGCTTCATCCCCGGAGTCCCAAAGTCAAACTGCTCGCGCCAGTCCGTTTGTGCGGCCGTCGTCTCCGCGCCCAGCCGGGTATACCCCACGAACGAGGGGGAATGGATCATGTTGCATTTTTCTTTGACCTGGGCCGGTAACGCAAAGAGTTCGGGCAGGGCTGCATGTGCTTTTTGAATAGTTGCCTGGATTCGAGTCAGTGCAGTAACAGAGCATGAGGTGGAAGTTGCATACCTCCATGCCATGGTTGGTCAGGTACAGGAATCCAACGAGGAAGATGGCTTCGCGGAGCTGGACGAGGGTTTCCTCTTTGGTAGAGGGATCTTGAAGTCGACGAAAGTCGATAATGGGGATTGAAGAGAAATCAGCCATTCTGTGAAGTTGTATGATTGAGGTACAGTTAGTTGTCGGTTGTCAGAGGATGAGGGGAAAGAAAAGAAGCAAAAGTGGGGCAGAAAGATTCCCGAGGTTGATCTGATGGCGGAATTAACAGTCCAGATGGCATAATTCATGATGAAAATGAAGATAGGAGGATAGAGAATAAAGATCCTGTCTTTCATCACCTCAGCCAGACCATCAGATCAATTTGCCGTGGAAGTGTAAGGGCCACTAGGTCTGCGGATTGGTCTATTGCTTATGGCTTCTAGGTGCTTGGTAGAAATAGTCGGAGGTGCGCCTCTAGCTTCAGGGCATGGAGATATCTTTAACAAGGTCTTAGGGTGGAGGAGGAGGGACAGTCCTTTCTTCGTTGAATTGACCATAAAAGGCTATGGGTAGATACTTGGTTCTTCAATTAGCTGCAGAGTATATCAAGACTGCAATACACAGGACCAATCTACTACTAACTATTCGAAGCATTTTGCTGCTCGGTTGCAGCGCTCATCCTCTGCCACTGTCCATGCATCAAGCTAATCGGATCAGGTAGGTCATTCTCTACATCAATATCCGAATTCTCTTCACTCAATGTATGATTGGCGCACTGGCTTCTTCTATATCTTAGAGATACCATCCAGGCCACTACCGGACTCCGTTCCAGCTCCGGCGCCATCTCCAGCGCTATCTCCAAGCGAGGTTTTTGCATCAATCAGACTGGACGATAAGAGAAGCAATTAGACCAACCCCGCTGGAGAATGCTTGATCTTGCTTAGCATTATGCCAGGCACTATGCATTGCAATCTCATGGATATCAACGTATGCAAGTGGGGACATGACTTAGCCGGTGCTATGGCAGGATAGATAAAGCTTCCCCTTTACTGAGTTCGTCGATCTCTCTCAACAAACTGAGCCAACATGTGGGTGTCTCAATTGACCCTTCTGCTGGCCATCACGGCTGCCCATGCCGCCCCCTCGCCCGTCAAACATGTTCTCCATGAAAAGCGGCATGCCCCGTCTATGGACTGGGTCCAGGGTGCTCGGGTCGACGCCCATGCCATCCTCCCCATGCGCATCGGTCTGGCGCAGAATAACCTCGAAAAGGGCTATGACTTTCTGATGCAGGTGTAGGTCTCCTCACCTGTATTGCACTGAAGTTGTCTGACCGTGTAGCTCCCACCCCGACTCTCCCACGTATGGCCAACACTGGACGGCAGATAAGGTGCACGACACCTTCGCCCCATCCGCTGAGACCGTCGAGGCCGTCCGGGAATGGCTGTCGTCTGCGGGAATCCATGGCTCGCGCGTGGTTCATTCCGACAACAAGGGCTGGCTGGCGTTTGACGCATATGCCCATGAAGCCGAGAGACTGCTGTTGACCAAGTTTTACGAGCATGAGCATTCTCGCAGTGACGGTGTGCGCATCGGATGTGATGGGTATGTTTTCTTCAAATCAAAAGACTCCACTGACGATATAGATATCACATCCCCCAACACCTGCAATCGCACATCGACTACATCACTCCCGGCGTGAAGCTGACCCCCGTGGTCAAGAAGCGCACGAATGTCAAGCGGGCCTCGCAGCTCGCTCACTCCAACGTACACTCGGTCTCCCTTGACTCTTCCTCATCTCCGTCCGCTGCAGCCAAAGCCCTCCCCTCCGACCTCCAGACCTGCGGCTACAACATGACCCCTCCGTGCATCAAGGCCCTGTACTCGATCCCCGACGCCACCAAAGCAGCAAAAGGCAACTCGCTCGGCCTCTACGAGCAGGGCGACTACTTTGCCAAGTCCGATCTGGACCTTTACTATGCACACTTCGCCCCCTGGGTGCCACAGGGGACGTATCCCACCCCCGCGCTCATCGACGGAGCCAACTTCTCCGCCCCGGCTGACAGCGCGCTCAACACGGGCGAGTCGGACATCGACATCGACATGGTGTACTCGCTCATCTACCCGCAGTCCGTGACGCTGTACCAGGTCGACGACCAGCTCTACGAGCCAGAGGAGGTCGCAACCACCAACCTCTTCAACACCTTCCTCGACGCTCTCGACGGGGTACCCTTCCTTCCCCTCGATCAGAAATCCCAGCTAACAACCCATAGAGCTACTGCACCTACTCCGCCTACGGCGAAACAGGCAACAACCCCTCCATCGACCCCGTCTACCC